TATCAAATTTTGGAATAAAAAAGTGCGTCTTATTACACCGAAAAATACGGTACATTTGTTCAAGGTTAAGCTACATGGTGGGATATCAGCACTACCTCAGCTGCGAAGGTCGAACCCCGAATGATTACGTAATACGCCATGAAACTTATTGCAGAACCGCCGACGGGCACTATATATATAACGGGAAAATAAAATGAATATTTCAGAACGCTGACAAAAAGGCTTAACACCTTGGGGTTAACAATAGTTTAAATAAATTGAAGGCGAAATTGTATTTAAGTTTAGTTATATTACAGTGACTTTTTTTTGTGTGACCATTTCACAAAGACGATTTGAAATTGCTAACTCTTGAACATGACGATTGATGTTATAAATGTGCCATTGTGACCGTATCTCAAATACAAGCCAAATTATGTTGCAGGAATAGAGAGCTCCAACAAGTTTAAAGACGGTTCTGCGTGACATACAATGAATGTTTATTTTCTTAAAATATGATATATATATATTATATTAACATTCACCTCTCTTAAAACTGGTATTTTGTGTTCCAATTTATTTGTGCAATAAGCTTCAGTTATCTGCACGTTTTTCTTTGGATTCTTATCAATGATATTAGGCCTTAGAACAAAATAATAATAATGATATTTATTTTAAATCATAGTCAGCGTAAAATTAATATCCTTCAAGCCTTCATTAATAGTTTATTCTGACCTTCCAAAAAGTTCGTTTCACAATAGCCGAGTGAAATTCTTTTTCCAGACTGTCCACCAGACGTCGCAAGTCCACATATTCTTCTTCGTTTGGAAATTGAAGTCGACGATATAATTCGACAAAGACGTGGCCGGAATTGGTGCTAAAAATGAAACGTAAATATTGGTGATTTCTGTTCTGTAATTGGGGGAAAGTGTTTGATTAAACTGAGTCACCCTAGAGAACTACTAAATACTAAGTAAGGAAGAACATTTTTAAAACAGGTATGACGTTTCGATCACTCGGGCGATCATCCCTAAGTAATCAAGTTTTAACGGTAAAGAAGGTTTTAATATTTAAATCAACATTCAACAATCTAACAACGTACTTAAATTTTAGAACTGATACTGGTTACTTATGCATGTGCATAACAATCCGCGTGAATTTAAAGATTATTTATTTATGGTTGAATAGAAAAATAAACAAAAAGTGAATAAATATGAAAATGTGGAAATGTTGTGCGAAATATTTGCATAAGATTAGGAATGTTTGGAGAAATAATGATCAAAGACATATAGAGATTGTTAACTGTGAGATTGTTTGATTTTATTAACAAGGCTTCTCTGATTTTTCTTCTGTTAATGTTTTAATATGGTGGCATTCTGTTTAGGAAAACTGTAGTTGTTTTTGTTCACATGTTCATGAACTTGGGAAGGGATATCTTGATGTTCTTTTAACCTGATGTTCAAATTGCGTCCTGTTTCACCAATTTAAAAGGCTGAGCAATTGTTACATTATATTTTGTAAATGTTTTTAGGTAGGGTGGGCTCGTTAAATAATTTTCTTAACATATGTTTAATTTTCATTCCAGTTATGTTAAGGATATATTTATAATCAGTAAGTAAACTCAAAACGTTATTAATACTAAACACTCAGTTTAAAAAACACCATTAAGATGTATTTTGACATTATTCCTACTTTTAATTCACTGAGTGTAATTCAGTGCTTTTTTGGTTTTATGTACCATTATTATGTACAACTATAAGATGAGTTTTCGATTTTTGTACTTTATTACCGTCTCCGAAAGATTTTTTAAGTTGAAACTAACAGATATATTTTGACACTCTTGTACTTTAAAGTATTTTGGTACCTTTATTTTCTTTCGTAACTATACACTAGAAATCTACAATTAAATCACCGTTAAATTGTGAATTGTTTATATTAAAAAATAAGAGCAAGGTTTTTCTTCAACGCTGTTTTTAATATTACAGAACATTTAAATTTACTACATGGTAATCAACGTGGAAATGTGCACAGAGCATTTGTGGAAATATCTATGGTCTAACTGTTTAAACCATTTATTTCTTCATTTTAGAAACACTTGCAGGAACCATGTACTAGGATGATTCCAGGGATTGAAGAGTTAAGCAGATTTATTTTACTAACAAGATTTATTTACGGCATGAGTTGTCATCGGTAGTAGTGGAGACTAGTGCTTTATGTGAGTTTAAGGTAGGAATGACTTTACATTTTTGCTTTTCTCAAGAGTGAGTGTGTAAAGACAGCCTTTAAATGGTTATTTAGTCCTGTAAACCAAGTGGTTCTTACGACACAGCCACGTATTTAAAGAACAATAATTTATGTTGGTACTGAATCATGGTTATTTAGTCCTGTAAACCAAGTGGTTCTTACGATATGTTAAGGACCAAATGGTTCCTTGTTGTCCGTATTGTTTTAATTTAGATGTTTATTTACTACAGGGAATTGATCATTACATAATGGTGATGACATAATGACTTTATAAATTTTGTGTAGTAAGTAGAAACGAAAATGATATAAATTCCATTTAGTGAGTTAATTAATCAATGAGTGAATGAGTTAATTGTTAATTGCGATAAGCATAATAGTGTGGAATTAATGTATATGACTCTTTTATTACTCCGTACACGTTTACATAAGGAGTTTTGGATATATCTTGAATAACCTTGCAGATTTCTCCAAAATGGTTTAATAAATCTTTCCATAATGACGATATAATTGTTTCTACTATAAAATAACATACTGTTTGGAGTATTTTACCGTTGTACATATCCTATTTGATTATTTATCAAAAATAATGCAAAGTCCACTCATCTTAATAATAAAGAATTGACATTTTTAAATAACGCTTCCTGGAGGCTATCTTAACTTGTAGGACTAACTTTAAAAACAACGTTTGAACATTGATTCTGAAACTAATGGTATGCCCTAACTTATTTCTAAGAATTCCCCAGTAATCGGTCAATCAAAAATACACTAACTAACTGTTTAACTTACTACCAGAATCACAGAACTGAATAACTCTCTGACTGGAACAGCGAAAGTGTCATCTCTACATCATAGCAGATGTCAACGTTTTAACTAAAACCATATTGATATTTTCTTGTTTCTTAAAATGATTTTGCTCGGGTCTCTAATCCTGATTCTAATGTGGGTTTAAAAATTTGTTATGACGTTATAAAACTGAAACAAATTTCTAGGTTCTGAAGCTAGATGATTGCTTTAAAGATGAAAAAGTTAGATATATTCACGTAAAAGTTCATTTAAATATTTTATATTTAGCATTTTGGTTTGTTTCCCATAATAACCAAAATATACAGTAATAAAATATCCAGCTACAATGCGCAGAATAAATATATTTCTGTTGTTTAAGTTTCCCTTCTCTTTTTTGATTCACACCATTTAACTTCCAATTTATACTTGGGTTAGAATAAGCGTTTATACCTGAACTAGAGAAGCATTTCGCAATTAAAATATTTTTAGGATATTTTGATGTAGAATATAGTTTTCCGTAGAACCAAATTCAAGATTATAATTTAATTCATTAAATGTACCAAATTCAGATAGTATAAATTTTAATCACATGAACATGCTTTGAACAAGAAGTGACGCAACTGCTTTGATGTTTCTGTCAAGTTTCTCGACTCGACTGTTACACTTCCTCACTTCCAATCTATTTCCCCTGTCTTAAATTTTTTCTTGGAGAATGAACGCTACTGAAAATCCTCGTAGAGGTTTTGCTCATTTTTAGACACTTTGTGCGGAGTAGTACAGTCTCCTTAAAACAATCTCCAAAACTTTTAAAGCAAGACATTTAAAGTGCATTACAAGAGCTTCAAAAAGAGAGCCCATTATGGACTTTTACTTGCAGACTTTCATCGGATCTGTTGGACTCTCAAAAAACTAGTCAAATTGCACATCTACTTAATTTAGTAAAACACAAATTTTATATAGATTTGTTGAAGATTTTCTTTTGACAGAGTGTTATTATGCGTGAGCCATACAGTGCCTCATTTAATTTAAATTTTATAAAGTGAGGCGTTTGTAATGAAAATAGTCTAAAAAATTGAAACAGAAGTATCCTACCCGATGCCGTTCTTACAAGGTCTGGCTACATTTTTCTCTTGAGCAAGTGTCGCCCTCTAGAGAAACACAAAATAATTAATATTACCTAAGATTGTTTTTACAGCAAGAAAGAAATAGACTCTGTAAATAAAGCATTAGTTACCATTAGATCGTATTCTGGAAGAAGGTTTTGTAATTTCATCAAAAAAGTAAATTCTTTAAGTTCTATGTATTTTTTAAATATTAGTTAGGGAGCAGAATTGTTAACAAACATCATATAAATTCCGTTCTTTAGTCTACTTTTATTAGTTTTAAGATGAAACACTGTTTCTCTCATTGACAGAATTAATACAGTACATAATTGGTCAGTTTAAAAAAAGTGCATATGTATTATACACATAGCTGAATTCCTCAAGAAGAATAAGTGAATTCAAACTTACCACTAAATAACTATGCCATGCCGTAGTCAAATGTCGAAATATGGCTGACTGTGAGGATAAAACATAAAGGTGGAGCTCCTGCTTTTGTAGCTCATAAGCCGAAGTATTGGAATATGACGAACCGATAATCCTAGAAAGAAACAAAAATTAAACCATTTGGCTGATGGATATTACTTGCTTATCCAACAGAAAGGCTCTACAAGATTCAGAAAATAAAACGTCCATAGAAGATGTTTGATTTCTGAAATAGATAACAATGCAGGATTATTTATACGCACTTCTGTGCCTATACCTAATTCATTCATAAATTAATCAATGTAAGATTGGCTTCTGGTAATTACTGGATACTTTCTTTGTCATCGCTTAATTCAAGACAGTAACTAACATCTCGGTTAAATTAAGAAGTGTGTTATTTTGTAAGTAAAGGTATAAAATAAAAATTACTCATTAATCAAACCATTGAATTACTGTTTTCCAGCGCTGTTTTTGTTCTTTGTAAGTTAGTCTGTGAACTTGACTAGAGAAAGAGGGATGGTATTACATTTTTCAAGAATTGCGAATACTTATGGACATATAAAAGTACATATGGCGTAATAATAATGGTTTTGGGACCTTGCATAGCTCGACTCGCAATCTGCAGAAAGTAGGATCGAATCTCGTCGTTGAAACATTTTCACCTTTTCAGCCTGGGGGCGTTATAACGTGACGGTCCTCCTCCCAATAACTACTAGTCCAAAACTTGACTGTGGGTTGTGTTGACTAGCTGCTTTCCCTTTAGTCTGTCACCACAAAATTAGGAATGCTAACTGTGACGGATTTGTTATTCTATATTTATTTTTATATCAAAGTTTGTTTAGATTAAGTTTATATTTAGAAATATGCATAGCTCTCTCTCTCTCCTCCTGATAGGAATTTAGGTCTTTGTAACCTAGAAGGATCAGGTGCGCTGGGACCTCTTCCTCCTTTCCGGACTGTGGTATGTCGTCTGTGAATGTAGAGTGTTGATACTACAAGAGGGTCGGAGTAAACTGCACTTGATCCGACCCCTTTCAGGGCAGTATGCATAGCTTATAGTGTGAAATACGTATTGCGAAACTCCCGCCTATTCTCTAATGCTGTAGAAGATTCTCAAGTGTAAAAATCAACAATATATTTGTGTACGTAAACAATAGTATTAACGTCAGTATTGTTACGTAAAGCTGAAAATTCCACACGCTTATAAATATAACGACGCGCCAAAAAAGAGTATCTATTATTAGTTTGCTATAGTCAGAGCTATAACTGTGATTGTTATCACGCTTACCAATCGGAAAACTTCAGATATTTGACCAGGAGCATTTACAAAGTTCGAACATGACAAATCATTTAACTCCAGTGGATTCTCATCGGGCATTAGTATTTTTACGAAAACATTATATAATTTTATTGTGGAAAACTCGGCGTGTGTGGATGGGGAATAATGAAGAACAACGTTAGCTAGCTCCCTGTTAAGTGAATTATACCTACGTCAACTCGTAATTAACTCGCTCATCGTGAACCCCCGATAAGAAAGAAAACTTCATATTGCTTGTAAGTATGTGCAACTTTTGTTTATAAATCATTGTTTGTAATAACTATTTGTAATAACTGTTTTTGTAAATTGTATTGTTGTTTGTATATTAAAACATATTTGTGTTAAAAAATAAAACTGTGTGTATCAATCTTGTTGGCAAATATCGTAAACTGACTATATATCGGCTTTTACTTAACTGTTAAATCCAATTTAAGTATCATTTAATTCAGTTTCAGACCTTTCGAAATTGTAATACGTAACATAAAGCAGATAGCCCTCGAGTAGCTATGTGCGAAATTCAACATAACTAAAACATAATTTTTAGCAGGACGTAGCCTAGTGGTTAGGATGCTTGGATTTAAGGATTCCTGATACGTAGCCCGTTGCCGCAATATCACGATTCGTACTTTGGGCAGTTGGGTGTTCTATAAAAGTGACTGTCAAATTCCATTATTGGATCAAACAAGAGAAGCTCAAAAGTTGGCAGTGGTCGTATTGATTAACTGCCTTCCCTATTCTAATTTAAGGACAGCTTTGCAGATAACTATTGTATATCTTGGCGCGAAAAATCTGAAAACAAAATAAAAGAAATAAACGGACGCAATTTTCAATTGTAGTATTAAAGTGGCACAATTTGTTAAAACATACTGCAGTAATGCAAAGTAACGTCAATGAATGATTTTCAGTGGTCAATGTTTCGGCCTTACTCAAATATTAATTAAAAATGTAATTTACAGCAATCGTATTTTTGTTGATCCCAGATTTTATTCTCCTGTAACTGTCTGATAAGTGGACCTTCGGGATATTCTTCTGTCTCTGTTTAGTAAAATAATGTCGCTGTATAAAGTGAAGGCTGCAAAATATTCTTCTGCTTCGACCAATGAAATGATATGGCTTGATTATTTAAGGCAAACCAGGATGGAAAGATGATCTGTAATACAATTATAGTTTCAATCTCATGGTGTACAAGTTTAGAGTTATTCTTCTAACTGAATGGAGTAATATCACAGCATTTTAGAAAGGGTTGAGTAGATTATATTAAAACTATTTTGAATATGCAAATGAGAAAGTTACACGACAGCCATAGCAGTTATAAAATTGCTTTGGAACGGCATGTATCAGAACTACATTTTGGCATTGCTTGGCGTTTCGTAAGTGATGTAATGCTGCCGAAAATTGATCGCTTTTGGGAAGGGTATGTAACAGCCATTTCCGACAAAAAAATATAAATATACACAGATCATAAAGATATGTTCAGATTGTAGATTTATAACTTCCAAGACGGAAATATTCCTTGTGCTTAATGGCATTGGGTAACAAAGGAATATGAATCAATTTGGGATACCAGAACCATCCAGAAACAGTCTTGCAACAAATCGTACCGCACCTGTAGCAAGCTGTGGTAAGTGCGACGTTTGTAACAACAGGTGAGAATTCGTGAACATAAAGGTCAGTGGCAAAAGTCATCCACGTACCCCAGGCAACAGTACACAACATAATCAAGAAGGCCATCTGGAAAACCGATACAAGTCACATGCACACAAATTGCTTCTACAACGCTCAACCGTTGCATACCTCATATCCTGTTTGAAACTAAAGGAATCGTTATAAGACGAGGTATTGGAATATCACGGATTGATTCCCCTATAAAGAACGTTGTTATTCTATATGTAGAGGTAACAAAAATGAAAATAAACAATTTATAAGGATACTGCGGTGCTGAAAAATGTGTTCCAGAAAACAAATATGGATTATTGAAAACTATCACGGAATGGTGGTGTGCTTTGGGCATAACAGCCTTTTGCAGTGGAAGCAACGCTGTAGGCCTATATAAGATGCACAGTCGTCAGATAGAGCGTGAGTGGATATGGTGACATGGTAATGACGTGCTAAGTCCCAAAATTCGTCTTATTATAACATACTGAGCTTCTGTGTTCTCGTGGTACACAAACAGGGAAGTGTTCTATCTTGATGCAATAAAATCATGGGATCTTATTCTCGTGGTGCATATGATGAAAAGGTTTTTATGTCTAATTATGTAAAATAACACGATTTTATTCACTTGGATTAAAAGTTGAGAGTTCTGTCTCTACCGAGTACAATCGCAGTGTTTTATTATCTTGGTATATTAGCAGGAAGATGTTTTTCTGTTTCGATACATTAAAATAATATTTTTATTCCTGTGTTACAGAACTTGATATGTGTCTTCATTTTTGGTAAGTTAATATAATTTTCGTAAACAAAAATTTAAATCCTGTATGTTGGAGGGAAATGAAATAGACGCCAATTTTTTTTAACCTCGGTGAATGTGGTTAAGAAACTTCATTGGTAAAGAAAAAAAAGAAGCATTCACATTGTTTAAACTTAAAAAAAAAGAGGTAAAAAATAACAATTTTCCAATATTTCGATTAATAATTGGAAACCGAGCTTATATTATAGTACCTATATTTATAAAATAATATTAATGTGTTTCTCGTAATTCTAAAAACAATTTTCTTCTGCAATCGCAATGTAATACAGTAGCAATAATCGTCCCATTTAAAACAAAACAAACGACGTCACCCAGGAAACTACTATTTCTGTATCAAAAAATAACACAAAAATACTATATTTACGACTACACTCCTTACCCTTCCGTACGATCCACGTGATGAATTTCTTGTCGAGACACAAGTTGATAATCACCATAGTTCCCGATGGCTGTATAGGAACGAGGATAGCGTTTATTCGGACGACGACTGGATGGAAGTTGTAGAAGACCAGCAATGAGGTCATCATTGCTGACGACTACCGGAGAAGATGGGGCTGAATCACATCTCATGGTTTTCGGCTCTTCTTTCTCCAAGGATGAAACGGGGTGATATGGTCCAAGGAATTCCCTAAGTGACAATAGGAAATATTGATACGAATAATTGTTGCATTTAATGTACAGAATTTTCCGACCTCCCAGTGGCTCAGCGGTAACTCTGAAAACCTATAATGCTAAAAATCGGATTTCGATACCTGTGGTTGGCACGGCACAGATAGCTTTGTGTCGGAATAAGTCAAAATATGTTATTGAACTGAAAACAGAATACATAACATACATGTATTTGTATTCTTTTTCTATAATATTTTTGAAACAGCTAACTTTTAAAAGTATTTTATTTTCATGTATGACAAATATTTTTAGTAGAATAATAATATGAAAAAAAGTTTTTCTAGTTTAATAATCTTATAGATTATAAACTCTTTGCTAGTTTTACGTAACCATTACAACAAAAGCTGTGAATGGAATTAACAAATTGATAATTTTACTTGACCATATTTGGGTTAAATAATAAAAAGTGCAGTGGACGTCTGTAACCATTGGAAGTTTGATTAGAGGTTTGTAACAAGAAATTAAATGTGTATAAATTGATTACAGACAGTAAAGCTATAGATAACTGTTGTAAATATTCTATTTTGATGTTTTTTAATATCATCGTTTTACTCTCCAGCATGAAGTGATTGTAAAGCTAATAGATGAGGAAATAATAAAAATATACCGTACTCCTTTTCTGTAATTGATGGAGTGATTCGAATCTTCGGCGAGG